CCAACCCCGCAGACTCGAGGGAATTCTCAGATCCGCAGGTGCCAGGTGTCTGCTGGACGGAGGGGACTCGGCGCAAACGAGGGGCCAGAGTCACGAGGCCACCCAAGAGCTCTCCTGTGCGTGTCCAGCGACAGCCTAGTTGTAGGCAGTGACCTTATTCAGCAAGACCCGAGCTTGAGGACCATGAGGATGGAGTCATCGCGAAGGCGCCCCGTCGTAAAACAGCGCCACGTCCTTGTAAATGAGGAGGGGTGGGCACAGTGTCCACTTTCCCAATTTGAGACCGCTGTCCTGTTTCTTAGAGAGAACAGATAATGTACAGAAAACCCTCAAAGGGAGGAGCAAATTTGTTTCAGAATTTATCGATGGCTCATAAAAACAAGTTCAGAGAGATTTTGATGCACAGCTACAGACTGAGCTGAGTTACTGTGCATTAAAAATGGAAATCTTTATTTTTTTTCCTCTCTATTTTTTAAGAAATCTTGTTGCAAGGTCATTAATCACATTATCCATTCTACCAGAAACAAATGGATTTGTCACTTGTGCACAGAAGCAGAGGTTGATTCTGAAAACAAATTGTATCAAAATAAATGAAATTATTATGATAATATAAAATAGACTGCAGTGATTAATCTCTAGAAACCAAATTCTGACCTGCTTTGCACTTCAAACAATAGCTTCTGTTATGTAAATAGTTGTGGGGTTTTCAAGGACAATGTTGCTAAATTGTAAGAAAAGTTCTATTCATGAGAAGCTCTTCAAGGATAAACATTAAGAGACCGGAAACTTGGTCTAGCCACTATCCAAAGCAGAGGACAATGGAAGTAACTGATTCGGGTAAGAATAACCATCAGTGGGAAAGGTATGGGGTGGAAATGGGGGGTGATGAGTAATGGGCGGGCTAATATCTTTGTTGGTTGGCATCATAAGGAAGAGTCAGTTTGACCTTGAATATATAACCTTGAGTAGACTCATTCTTCCTGCATCCTTACTTCAGCTCATTGAAAACTCAGAAAGTTCAAATAAGCCCACTTATGCACAAATGGCAATAATGAAGGCAGTGAGGTTTCAGAGCGCTTTTCGAAATGTTATATTTTAGATGACCCCACAAGGCACCAAATCCAGACATGTTCAGAATTCTCTAGATAATGATTTGACTTTTAAATTTTTCACTCATAGATTTGATATTCTTTTACTTGTAGACCTAGGTAGATCTTAATTGGATGTGACAATAGATTATTATTTTTCCTGTATTGCTCCGTATATCCCTTCTTGACACAGATAATTCATATTTGCAACTTTTTGCATAGAGGTTTGTTCTTTTAATAATTAAATAAAACCAAGTGTATTTCTAGAATTCTAATTTCCTCCTGAACAAAGAAGGTGGTGTACAAGAAGACATAAAAATAGCATATATCCCAAAATAATTACTCCTAAATTTCTTAAAAGAGATTCCAGTAGAAGTGATCAGTGAAATTGCCAAATCCCAGATGGAAAGACCCAGGCATTGGATATGTTATTCTCTCTGGAGGCAGTATAATTAGAGGGTTTAGTTAGCAGGGTATATGCTATTTAGGGTTTTATTTTGTCTTCCTGATGCAGTGGGAAATCTGCTAGTTTAGGAATGAGAAGTTTGAGTCCTAATAGCAACTGTCACTAGCCACTAAGTGGTGTTGGGCAAGCCATTTCTCTTCTCTGGTCTTTAGTTTCCTTGCATATAGGAGAAAGGGAATTAGGCTAGACTCTTTAGTGGTCCTACTGGCTCTATTCAAGGGCTTGGTATTTTGAGAAAGAAGGAATTGTTGTTTGGTGTGGCAACCATTTCAGAACATTGTTTTCTGTTTGTGTTATGAACTACCTGTAGCCAATGGTGAGTCTGGAAAGACAGGCAGGTTTTGTACTACAGCAAGAAAACCTTCACACAAGCAGATAATGTAGCTGTGGTTGAAACCTGCTCTCAGCAACATGGACGCTTATCCTTGATTCACTCACAGCACAGCCATCTTATCTACCTGTATGATCCTGCATGTATGACTCAGGCTACCCAAGAGAATGGCTGTGTGAGTGGCAGAGACCAGGGCCCACAGATTTGCCTCCACTTGAAAAGTCGTGCAGATCTGCAGCAGTGAATCAGCGCCACCTAATCTCTTAGTGTAACTGATGTTGCAGCCTAGTAACCACCCACTCATTCACTATGTCTGCTGGTCCCAGGTCAGCTGAGAGCCCAGGATGGACTTACACCATGTGCTGGGAATCCTGATGAGCTCATTCCGCCTCCATTTTATTGCCCCATCTGTTTGGCTCCCTCATTTTCTCACATGCATTTTTATCTTGGTCTTCTGGGAAATGTGCTAATTTCCACCATGGTGTCAGAGGATCCCATCATATACTCTTTTACATTTCCTCCTTTATTTCTCGGTGCCACTTGGGAAGTCAAGGATGGGGGTGTGAGCTCAATAACAGAATCCAAGGACAGCTTCCTGCAAACATGACTCAGGAACTGTCCTCGGTGCTGAATTTCAGTCAGAAGGGGGAAATAAGAATGGGGAGTGTGTGTGTAGGATTCAGTGCAGATACCACAGAATTTGGAGGCCCCAGAAGATCCTGACTAACCCTTTTTTATGTATAAAATGCTCAGAACCTTTCAAGAGTGTATTTTTCACTAAACTGAATTGCCTGGGAGAGTGAAAAGAGCTTTAACTTTGGAGTCAGACAGGCTCTTGTTCAGTCCTGGTTTTATAACTTGCCATTTGACCTTGACAGAACCTCTCTGAGCCTCAGTTTTCTCATCTCTAAAATTGAAGCTAAATTTACTGTCAATTATTGTTTCCAGGCTTGATTGAGGTAACACATGTGAACATTTAGCTTAATAGCAGGTGCACGGTAGACACTAATGACCCCCCTTCCCCCCTTTTCTCCACCGAGGCCAGGCTTGAATTATGTAATTTCTATTAGGAACAAAGTTAAAGTTTTCATTTATTTTCTATAGTATACTTTATGACCAAATAAGGCAATAATTCTGAGAATAGGCCAGCCTCCTTGGAGGAATGACAGGTCATGAGAACTTCAGGAAAATTTACTAGTGTCTTCAACAAGAGAAAGGGATCCCACTCTGTAGGATTTTTAAAAAGGTAAAGCATGGTATTATTGAACTCTAATCAGAGAATTCACTCAAAGTGAACAATTTCACATTTATGCTAACAGAGTAGAATACTAAACTGTATCCAGGACCCATTGAAAATATTTGCAATATTTAACATTTTTAGTAATTCTGATTTTGTGTTTCTGTGAGATCTAATAGACATATGCTCCTCAGATAAAATAAGTTTTCTTTCTTCAGCATATCGGGTTCTTTTTGAACTTGGGGACTTGTGAGATGAGACTTTGAGTTTTGGGGAGTTTTCTGCACAGGGTATGATCACATGTGGTTGGCAAGGTATGATTTTAGGGATTTGGTTATTAATATTACTCAACTGACCTCAACAAATTCAAAAAGTCTTGATGGCGTCCTCTGGTTTCAAGCAATGTAATCCATCACTAGATAAAACAGGGATAATATCTTAGCTCAGCTTTTTAATGTAAAGGATAGAAGACCAGGGATGGAAAGAAGCCAAAGAAAGGAACTTTATGAACTTGGTTTGCTTTGAGGACTTGTAAGAATGTTGTCTTAATTTCCCCATATTAGGAAACCCTGACACCATCTCACTTCTACAATGAATTGCAAAATTGGCCTAATTCTTATAAATATTTGTAGATCAGTATCTCCACATGATTTAGGCACACAAGTAGCTTGCATGAATCTTTGAAAGTGAGAGTTGGAAAAGATTTTATGGAAATTTGAAGATTTGGAAACAGTTTAAGAAAGATGAAAATGTTATATAGTGATTAACAGCAGGTCTAAGGCCCTCTGATCCCCAGAAAAGGGGTCTTTTCTATACCATTCTGTAACTTGTACATCAAACCATTGAAACAGGTCTTCCTTAAAAATTAACAATTTGTCATTGAGTCCAGTGGCCCTTTCTTATCGTTCTTCTGGAACTTATCGAAGTCATCAATATTGTTGGTTAATTCCTTTTTTTTAAAGTAAAGATTCCTATTGTTGATTTCTGTGATGTTGAATTCTTCTGAGTTTCTTTCTATGTTCTGGGGTGACTTGCCTTCCTGTCCTCCTTTTTTCCTTCCCTCTCTCCCTTCTTCCTTCATTCTATCCTTCCCTACTTTCTTCTCTACATCCTCGTTCACTACCTATGTCCAAAGCTGAGTGGTCCATACCTCTCTCCTTTTGCTATACTCTCTACCTTAATAGTTCTTTTAAGTGTTGTTAGTGATATTCCTGATCTATATTCAGCTCCAGAAGATAAAAAAGAAAATCATCTGCATGTTGGACATCTCACGGATTCACTGCCAGCACTTCTAACTCCCTGTGTCCTTCACTAAAGTCATCATTCTCTTCCTCATGCCTCTTCTATTTCTCCTATGTCATTATTTCTGCATCATCCAGATTCAAAATTTTGGATTCATTTCTATCTCTTTCTCTACCCTCAGGTCTATTCAAATTCTAGCCAGTTCCTGAGTTCTACGTCTACTTTTACAATATGTCAGCTCTCTTCTCACTGCTACAGCCTCGTGAGTTTTGTTGCCTCCTGACTGAGCTTTCCAGCCCTACCACCTCCGTGTCAGCTTACGTTCTGTTGCCAGATCAAGGTTCCTGAAGGACCCCACTAAAGCACTAAACTCCCCTCCTCAGAAACCTCCAGTATCTCCCTGTACAAATTTGTAAAATCTTTAGTCTTCATCATTTGCCCCTCCTACCTTCCTATTCAAACCTATTTTCTACTGTAAAACTTGACTTCAAAGTAAACTGTTGTCACCTGCTTTTCAGTCTCTAGATTTGGGGCTCAGCTTATCTCCTACATCTGGAATGAACTTCCTGCCATTTCTAGAATCACAAAACCCATTCATGCTTTAAGACTCTGCCTACCTATTACCTTCTCTAGAAATTACACCCGGATTTGATTCGGTCTGAAATGACTCTGTAGAGGATGGTAGGTTATTGAATACCCTTTCTCTTCCTACATTCAGCCCTATACTGTAATCATTTTTTATTGGACCACAAGCTCCTTAATGGCCATATCTAGGTCTGTTGTACTTTCTTCTTTCCTTAAATATCTGTTGGATGTCTTTGTGTACAATCATAGTTGTAGGAAAGAGAAAAAGGGTTTCGCTCACCATATAATCCATTCTGTGACTCTGTAGGAAGAAAGTCTTTGTGTTAGACTGAAAGGAGATATTTTCATGAGAGGTTGGGAATAAGATTAGCCCTTGTAAAGGATAACGTGAAGGAGAGGGAGTATCAGAAGAGAGGGTAAAAGACAGGAAGATTGAAGTCATGGAAAAAAATAAAATAAGTAGTTAATAATCTCTGACTTGTGGTCCTCTGTTCCAGATCTGTTTGCTGTTTCCAAGGATACCTTAAGATAAATTTATCTCATTTGTAATAGTTATCACTCATCTGTCATCTACAGTGAAGGACAAGGGCATTATTTTGGCCAGATGACCAGAATAGCTACTTATAAGAATGAACAAAGTGAGTAGTAACAATATTCAGTTTTTAATTGAGCAAAGGAAAGTGGGAATTGTTGTCTGAAGTGTCTACACGTTCCAGATTCTGAAATCTGCCTATCTGGAGTGCTCAGATGGAAGTGTCACAGAAATGATGGTGGTGGGGGTTAGTTTTTTTTTTTTTCTGCAGGCTTTGCAACACCACTTGGTGGGGGTTAAGTTGAAATTATAAAAGAACAGACCTCTGTCCCAGCACTATCAAAGGTTCTGAGTCC